CAGAAAGGACTTCCGTATCAAACTGGCTTGTTTGGGTATTTGGCTTTTATTTCTCACTCTCCTGATTGTGGGAAGGTTAGCTAAACAATTTAATTTAAGTTTGGTGATGGTTGAGCCACAGGCGCCGAGCCAGTCCTCAAACTTTTTAAACAGAGGGCCTGTACATGGCTGGCGCCTTAGCCGCTTGAGCCACAGGCGCCGAGCCAGTCCTCAAACTTTTTAAACAGGGGGCCAGTTCACTGTCCCTCAGACTGTTAGAGGGCTGAGCTGCAGGCCCCGGGACGAGTAGGCTGCTAAGCAGGATAGGCAGCGGTGGCAAAAACAGCTGGCAGGCCGGATAAATGTCCTAGGCGGGGTGCATGTGGCCCATGGGCTATAGTTTGAGGATGCCTGCAGTAAGCTATGATGATGCCACCACACTCTGGCCTTGGTGACAGAGGGAGACTGTCTCAAAAAAAAGGCTCTTCAGGATTCAGTCCTGTCCCCTCTGCCTCTGAGCATGGTACACATGCCCGTGGCACCTCTTCTTCCTCTGATTTCTGTCACACATGTGTCCCGAAGGCCCCAACCTTTGGCTTCAGGTCAGCCCTATCCTAACTCCAGGCCCAGGTTTCTGCTACCTCTGGAACCGCAAGCATGTCCCCCAGACATCCCTACCTCAGTGCAGGCACAACCGGCCAACCTGCCATCTTTCTCACCTGGCCAGGTGCTTGTCTTTTGCTCTTGCCACAGTAACCTCTTCCTGCCAGCCTCTGTCAGCCCCTCCACCGCTCCCTGGCCCTGCTCTGCCACTCCTACTGACCCTGCCAACTCCCCCTCCTTAACACCCAGGGAGGTGCCCCAGTGGTCCCTCAGCTGGGCCAGAACCTACTCAAGGGATAAATCACAAAATTATCACATTGCATGAAAGAGGTGAGGCAGCGAAAAGTACGTGCCATGTGGTTCCATTCACATAGGTAACATGAACTATTCACTATGGTGGCAGAAACCACGGTGATGGTCACCTGGGGTAGGGACCCACAGGAACTGTATTAAAGGGCTGCGGCATTAGGAAGGTTGAGAACCAGTGAGTTAAGGGAAGGATTACAGAGGGCAGGAGGAGGAACATGTTCATCATCTAGATTGTGCTGTTGGTTTTGTAAGCATTTATTGATGTCAAAACTTACCAATTGCTCAAAAACCACAATTAAGGGGGTGTGTCAGAAAGACTCAGGAGCTTC